GCCTTCTCGGTGACAGCTCCACACCCACCACGTGCAAACGTACGAGTACCAGTAATATAATATAATATAATATAATATAATATAATATAATATAATATAATATAATATAATATAATATATAATATAATAGAATATAATAGATTTTAATATAATAGAATATAATATAATAGAATATAATATAATATAATATAATATAATATAATATAATATAAGATAAGATAAGATAAGATAAGATAATATATATAATATAACATAACATAACATAACATAACATAATATAATATAATATAATATAATATAATAAAATATAATAAAATATAATATAATATAATATAATATAATATAATATAATATAATATAATATAATATAATATAATATAATATAATGTGTGTACACCACAATTTGAAGCCAATGCTTTGTTTGAGCATGCAGCAACTCATAAGCCACACATGCAGCTAGCAACGTACGTTTGGGTGCAGCTCCGTCCAGGTGGCGAATCTGGCTCTACCCTACTACTGGCTTACATTGGCATCCCCTGCTCGCTGTTCGACGAAGGCACTGCCCCAGGGTTGTAAACTCAAAATCATACTTGGAGGATCATGTGACTTAGTAAGTAAGGTTATAAGTCCCCTAATTGGGGTTATAAGTATCGTTACCTTAACTATAACCCTACTTACTAAGTCCCATGATCCTTTAAGTACTCCTCGCAGCAAGGGCCTCCCTAGCAATCAAGCTAACGGACCTCTGAAACGGCACTTCAACGACGGCCCATGTCACTCGCATCTGCAAGATGCGAGAGCCACGGGCTAGTCATCGCCGAAGTATTTTGAGAAATGCCATCAGCCTGCAACCCCAACCTTGCGAAGCGGCGAACCCACCGCGACGAGTTGAAGTCGCCGGCACAGACATTAAGCACTGCTGGTGGTGGTAGTGAGGCTGCAGAAGGGGTGGCTTCGCGTGACGATGGCGTAGAAGTATTTCGTCGCAGTGGCAGTTGCCCATAGTTGTGGAGGCGCCACAATTTGGCAGAAGTGCCGCTACTGCCACCGTTGTCACTGCTTAACGACCCGAGCGGGACCAAGAGCACACATGCGACAACGCACTACCCAGAGAGACGCCCACAATTTCTTCGCTTCGTCATGATCTCGCCAAGAAACATGGACGACTACTACTTAGGTCCTACTGCTACTCATGCCCTCCACCCCTGCGATGACGATTGCAATGATAACGGCCACAACACAACCAAGACTTAGACTTGTCCTCCCCAGAGCAGCACGGTTGTCGATCGCACTTCTGTGAGCCCAGCTGCTACCAGAAACTATCCCCCTCGGACAGAAAAGAAACTGAGATTGCTGAGCCCAGGGCCAAGAGTGGCGTTGGGATGGTCTCCAGGACGTTCGCCGTGCTCAGGAAGAGGATGTTGGAGAGGTCCACCGGCACCTTGCCACCAAGAGAAAGCTCCGCTAACAGGAATTCTGAGACCTGCTCAGCTCGCTGAAACCTGCACTTCATCATGATAAATCCAGGGTGCATCGAGATAGTGGTCGCGGAAGCTGTTGTTCTGCTCCGGATCCAACACTTCCAGTAGTGCCTGGAACAATGCATTTGCCCCTGGAGGAGGCAGCAGGAACGCTTTTGCTTAGACTGTTGGAGCACTTTGTAGCATGCTTCCGTCCCCTTTGAAAGGATGAGAATGAAACGGCAGTGTCCAGCATGAGTTTGAAAACAAAGGGCATCGGGGAAACCTTAGCAATACACTGGACCCGATAAACATCCTGGTTATCTCACTTCTCACTCTAAAAATGTTTTGGCTACCTCACTTGTACTCTCTTCTGGTTACCTCATTTCTAACTCTAACAAACCTTCTGGTTACCTCATTTCTGACTCTAAACACGTTTTGGGTACCTCATTTCGAACCCGACCGTGCAAAGTACCCAGGAAACCTCCATGCACCTTTTTGGGCCCCCACCGAGGACGGATCACCCCGCATATCTCGGCCTTGGGTTCAGGCTTTTTCGGGTTTAGAGCTTGGTAACTTAGAGGCATTAGGGTTTGGGGCGCCAGGGCTGATAGCGGGCTTTAGGAGCTCCTTCAGCCGAAACACTTTGGCACCTTTGAGGGCTTAGGGCTGCTGCTAGGGCTGTTCAGGGTTTTGGGCTGTAGGGTTCAAGGGGTCAGACTCCGAGGATTCTAGCAGCGTAGCTCAGCATGTCAGTAAGCTAACTAAATGTGTGTACCTGCGGTTGATGCTCCTATTATATAGCACAGCGAAGTGTCGTGTGTTGTAATGTGCACATAGATATATAGATCTACATACATACATACATACATACATACATACATACGATGATATAGTGTGGTGTGGCATAACCTCGTGTATTCATATAGTATCATGTACTATCTTGGCATATAGTAGAAGACAAGACGAAAGAAGATTCAGTCAAGATAAGATAAGATAAGATAAAACAGGTAAGAAAGATAAAAGGTGGGATGAGATGAGATGGGATGAGATGAGATGAGATGATATGAGGTGAGATGAAAAGATAACATACTATGTCGTACTATACCGTATTATGTTCTACTTCAAAAAGCTGCACTAGTGTACTATGTCCTTTTTTATTCGATTAAACTGTAGTAATAATTCTACTTCATGGTTCTGCACTATACTATACTGCACTGCAGTACACTGTACTGTGCTATACTATACTCTGCTACAATACACTATCCGAAACTGTACTGTGCTACACCATGGTGTGTTGTGTTATATTCTGGTGTGTTTACTATATTCTGAGCACATCTTCTACCAAGTTGTCATAGCAGCAGTCGTCGTAGTCTCCTTGGGCTTGGGTCTCAGATCAGCAAAGCCAGATCTGGGAAACTCACCAAGCTTGTCAATCTCATCGATGAGCACAACCGGATTGGAGCACGCCACGCTCTTGAGGCACCTCAAGTCTCGCAGGGCTGTTGAGGGAGCGCTTCGTTGTCAACGTTGCCTATCAAACCGAGCGGCTGCCAACCCGGAAGTGTCCAAAAAGCAACTCGAGCTCTCGTGACAGCTGGGGAGGCTGCTGGATGAGCTTTCCGGGCATTGCACCCACCTTGCATCAAGTTGGGAGGTACAGGACGAACATGCGACCCATCTTCCACGACGACTTCTCATGTACTTTGCTACTGCCACTGGTTCTGCCTGCCAGGCTCACAGTCACATGCACCAGAATAAATGTATATCTATTTCCATATCTGTATCTATATCTACAGAATATGAATGTGCATTATATCTATATAATATACACAGTGTCCTGTGATACTAAAGTATAACGCATGACCATGTAACGGCACAGCATTCTTTTGTTCCACAAGATTCAATGCATCAACCTTTGCCCAGGCTCTCGTCCGGGTTTTTTGTGCCCTAACATTCGGGTCGGTGGAGTAGTAAGTTCTACAACAACGTGAACGTCACAAAGGTGACCATCGACGATTGATGTCTTTAGTAGCAGCAGAAGACATAACACTGAGCATAGCGGTGGCGGTGGAGTACAAGTGACTTTGTCACGCGGGGAAACCATCGGCTGCTTGACGATCTTGTGGCCAGTGCCTTCCAGTGCTTTGGGGGAGAGTCTAATGACCCGAGCAGCTGAAGCACAGCGTGTGCTGAGAAGCTCCCCATGGAAGACACGGCCACAGACCCAACTTGGAGCAAGCCAAAGCATCACTGCAGCAGGGTGTCCACGTTCGCATCAATCCAGCGAGCGCGTAACACGAGGTATTGAGACAGGTGCTCAGAAGCTTTGTCGAAGCTATGTGTATCCTCAGGCGCACAGCAGCGCCAGAAGCCACATCTGTTGGTTCCTGGGCGTGAATAGCAGCCCTGATATGAAAACCAAAAAATGATGCTTGCAAAGGCAGGTTGGAGATGCATGGTTTGAAGAACGTGTGCTTGGGTCCCAATCTGATCGTCAAGTCGCTGCGCCAGATCTCGAGATCATTTTTGGCGGCTGACGCGATCTGCTTACTTCTCCTCCTGCAGCCCCCAGTGTGTGGCACAGCATGTTCTAGCTACGCAGTCCACAAGACTGATACTATTTGGTGGGTGTAAGGTTAGGCAGGCAACGATGTCGGCTTCGAGGGACGGAGGGACGGATGTCTGATCTGAGCACCATGGCACCTTGTTTTGAAAGCATCGAACCCATCTGAACCCACGGTGCCTCACCATAGCCTCCAGCATAGCATCTCCCAGCATGCGCCCACGAGCAGCTTTCCAAGCGCCGGCGAAGGCGGCCTGCTACGAGCTCACATCCTCTGTGTCTGTGTCTTCGAAACCAAACTGGCTCCCGGAATGTCATTTTAACACTGAGCATTTCAGGGCTCAGTTGCTACCCCCCCCCCCCAATACTTAGCCTGCTCAGACCCTGGCTTGCCTTGCTGAGAAAACTTAGACTGAAATGGAAGCCAGACCGCCCTTTGGCCGTGGGAGCTCTCCTTCGCCTGGGCAACGGAAGTCCTCGATTCTGAAGTCTCTCTTGGTACTACGCCATGCCCGAACTCCCCGATCGTCTCAACTTAACTGCGCGGGCTCAGCGTTTAGGCCTTGAACCCCGGATAGAGCCAGAGATTGAGGAAGAGCTGGCGCTTATTCATGCCGAAACGCTCCACCTGAGCTCGAAGGGTCTTGAGAACTCTGAGCACATTGATTCCCAAAACACGCCCCAAAACAACGAAAGTCTGGAAAGCGTTCAATCCTTACCTGCTCCGTGAAGCTCCGAAGCCCCTCACCTGCGAATTGACGCTTCAGATTCCGATTTGATTTGTGGACTCTTTCAATACGAGGGCCGCAATAATTTCAGTATCATTCTGAGGTATTAATCCATTTTCTGTGGAACAACAATGAGACCCCTAGCAAGCAAGACAACATGTCTCAAGGGCTGGGCTCACCTCGAGACTCTGAGTCCTGAACTCCAAAATCTAAGCCAACTGCGGAAGTACCTGAAGCAACAACTTCCCATTCAGAACCCCGAACCCTGAAACTCTGAAACCCTGAACCCGAAAACTCTGAAACCGTGAACCCTCAAACTTCCGAACTCTGAAACTCTGAAACCCTGAAGCCTAAGACTCCGGAACCCTGAACCGTAAACAGCCGTAAACCAAGCGAGTCTGGCTGCACTCCCTCCCGGGATTCCAGAAGGTCCGATCCACAGCGCATCATCGCGTGAGTTCTCAACGTTCCAGCCGGTCCTTTGAAAGCGGCCAGGAAGGTTTACGGCTTCTTTCAAGTGTGTTCGCAGGGTTTTCTGGTGGTGTATGGAGTTCAATACAGCGGCCGGATTAATAAATCGAACAGGGTTTTGGAGGATTGTTGGGTGCTATAGCTGGGCAGATAAAGACAATCTTACTTATTATCGTGCCGACCCCTCTCTGTCAGGAGTGTTTTGGGTTTAGTTCAGGGTCCCTTCTATTCTAGGGGAGGCATCTTAACATACATGGGATGGGAGCTCGACTCTGGCGGGGTGTGGGACAAAAGTACACGTGGCAGGGTGCAGGACCTGGGGTCTGGACATGAGGGCTCGGGCTTTGAGACTTTTGAGGCGGTCTACTGAGAAATAGCTTTAGCTTGAGCTTCTGGTCAACAGGCGGTTGGGCTTGCCGGCGTGTCTGCGACCACAGCTATACCTTTGTTGGTGGTGATGGTGGCGATGGCGATGGCGGCGGCGGGGTGGTGATGGGACGGTGGTGGCAGCGGTGGCAGTGGTGGCAGTGGTGTGTCGGTGGTGTCGGTGGCGGTGGTGGCGGTGGTGGCGGTGGTGGCGGTGGTGGTGTGGTGACGACGATGATGATGACGAATCATGAAGCTGAAAATGACGATGAATCTTGCGGTGATCGTGACGATGGGGATTACGGTCAGACTGTGATGAAGGCGTCATTTGCGAAGATGGTGGTGACGCTGCTGGTGACGGTAGGTGGGTATGATGCTCATCAGCATCATCACAATCATCATCACCATCATCATCACCGTCAACATCATCATCAACAACAACAGCAACAAATGACGACGATGCTGACGATGAGCTGATGATGATGATCATCATGATGATGCCCTTACCACTGTTATTGCTACGAGCTGCTGGCAGCCTTATTGTGATGTTCTCCTTCACCACCAAAGATGCATGCCCGAAGCTGAGCCTAGGACATGTTTGAAGGTTCCCCCAGCCCTGACTCCCAAGATGACCCTGTGCGATCTGAGGAGCACCCCTAAGGAGACATTTCCAGTGAAGACGTTCGTGAAGTATCGCGGCATGCAAGCAAAGTCGAAAGCCAGGTCGAAGTCCCACGGAGCAGCGTGCAGCAGCCGCCCCTGTCGGGCCATCACGTAGTTCCTGAAAGTTATGATATGACGGCAGGCCAAAAGGTGACACCAGCTGTAAGATGGCAATCAACTACTACTGCTACTCGGTAGCAGAACAAAAGGAGGCAGGGCAAGAGCAAAGCCAAGATGAAACTGCGATACACAGAACGCAGTCCCAAGGTTCGAGAATGCGTAGCCGTCAACGTCCTTGGCCAGCTCCTCTACCAAGAAGTAGCGCACAAAGCTTTGAAAGTCGAGGAGTTCTTCCAACCCCCTGTTGCCGGAGGCTGCCAGGCTGTCTACAGAATCGACGAGCTTCTGGAGGAAGGCCACGGTGGTGCTGGGAAGGGCACCCTTCGGGTGGAGCACGCTGAAGAAGGTGGAAGTCACGTTGCTTCGCAGTGACACCTTGACCACCGGGCTTTGAAGTTGGTGCTACCGGCTTCCTCCATGCAAACTCTGATTAGGCGAGTTGTTGGAGCTATACATCAAAGCTACTCGGTTTGCGAGACACTGTGGAAACAAAGAGGGGTCAAGCAGTCCTAACTTTCTAACAACTGAAATCCTAAAACCTAGACTCTTCTGGTCTTTGGCTTTTTTTGCTCAGTGCCGTCTGCCTTGCCCGGCTTTGCCCAGTCGATTGTCAGCAGGAAATCCGAAGCCTCGGGCTGATTCGGCTGCGTGTGACAGGAATCCTCGGTGCAGCTCGTGGCTTAGGGTTCAGGGTCCAAGGGTGTAGTGTGTAGTCCGGGTTTAGGCTTCAGAGTTTAGGGCTTGGGCCCGGCTTAGGCTTTAAGAGAGCTAGGGATTTTTCTGTCTTAGAGTTCAGGGTATAGGGAACCCAGCAACATCCTCAAAACGCGCTGCGTCTTTCAACGACATAAACTCGAGCTCAGGGTGCGGTGCATTATTCGAGCAAAACACGAACACGTAGGACCCTGCACAGACGCTAGCAGTCGTCAGGTGCACGATCATACGAGCAGCTTGGAGAAGAACAACGAAGCCAAAACCCACAAACAAAAGACAACAACCACGGGCTAAAGCACATGAAGGGGGAAGAAAGGGGTTCGTTCTGCGGAAAGAGGATCCAGTCGCCCGCCCCCACACTCCACGCGCTCGCCGATGTAGTAGAGTCCGTAATCGATTCCTGGGCTCGCAGCAGCTGGTCTTCACTCTGAGTTTGGACTCTTCGAAATTTTATCGGGCCCTTTCGAACCCGATGTCGAAGCTGCTACTCTCTACCAGCTCCCAGGAAGCGGGTTCTGGTGCTCTCAGAAACAAGCCAAACTGGGGCATGGAGCCGTGCCACTCCAGCTTCACATACACGGTATCTGTGGCCCAGCCACCCAGCTTCCGGTATACCTCGAATGCTGTTGGATTCCGCTGGAAGGACACGTCCACGAAGGAGGTGGCCAACACCCATCGTCTGGCTGGTGCCATGCCCAAAAGAGGCATCCGCTTTGGCAGCTTCAGAGAGAACTGATGCTTTGGAAACATCGCCGAAGAATGCCCCCGGGAATGCATCTGCACATCTTCGATGACGTGATTGTCAAGTTCCAGCCTTACCGTTCCTTTCCAGTGTGTCACGTTGGAGCACTGCGGCCCCTCGTAGAGATGTGTGCAGACTCGGGGCACCCAGTCCAAGACCCTCGGAGGCGGCTCTGGACCTGCAGATGTCATTTTTTGAGAGTAGGGCTTTTGGGGAGCGTATGTCCGCTGTAGCCAAATAACCTGTATCAACCTATTAAGGAGCTTAAATAGAGATACAAAGGAAAATGATTCGTCATGGCCAGACCCCTATCTCAGTCAGCATGGCATGCTTCAGCGTGACAAGATCACAACCCAGAGACTCCAAATTAAGGAGTATACCTTAAATTATAGTAGGATCCCTAATATGATTTAAGGTATACTCCTTAATTGAGGCTCATTGGAGTCTCTGGGAACCCTGGCAAAGAGCTCGCTGCGCTCTGAGGAGGAGGCCGCCGAAGATCTTCAGGCGAACGATGGAAGACCTTTGCTTGCTCGCAGAGTCCCCGGAGACTCCAATAACCCTCAATTGAGGAATATACCTTAAATCCTATTAGGGATCCTACTATAATTTAAGGTATACTCCTTAATTAAGGGATATCGGAGTCTCTGGGTCTCGCAGCTTCGAGTGCACAGTTTGGCTTCGCAGAGCGCAGGTCGGGCCTGAAATCGGAATCCGCCAGCGCCACGGTTGGCGCTGCCTGGTCCACAGCCTGGAGGGACCAGGCACTTATTTCTGTGGAAAGCCTTCAACTCAAGGCATGTGAGACACTCAGCCTTGAAATCGAGAGCCTGAACCTGACTCAACCGCATACTTTGAGGGAAGGATGCTAGAAGAAAGCTGCAGCAATGAATCTAAAGCCTTGTGCGCGGGTATTTGCTCCTCCCAAAACCCCACGAGGGACTTACGAGGGCTCAGTGCTAACATGGACGGCGCCGCAGCATGAGGCTTGAATACTTACCGGCTACCAGCAAGCCAAAGCTGCAACAGGAAGTACTGTACCGGCGAAAATCGCTCAGACACACACTCAAACCCGCTCAGCGCAACGAACATGTCGTCAGCGCCCGTGAAGCTCCCAGAAAAAACCGGCTTCAGCTTTCGCGGCATCGGCCCCAACACGCCTCAGGACCTCGCAGGCCCAGAAAGATCCCCGCCCCAGCCAGAAGCCCCGTGGCGAGCGCGAGGCTCACACGCCTGCACCTCCCAAGGCGGATGCGTCGAACATGTCAGCTTTGGGACTTACAACGAGGGCCCCACCTCTGCAGGCGCCCCTCCACCAGCGGAGGCCGAGTATGCTCGGCATCGCCGTGGAGCAGCGGCTCAGATGTGGCCATGGCGGAGGATTGCGAGGGAGGTCTGATCAAGGTTGGGAGTAGTTGGGAGTCCGACCGAAATGACGCCATGGGGCGGGTGGCTGTCCAAGATGGCTTGGGGAAGATCAGGATCTGAAGAACAGTGCCATGAACATAAAGGCGGCGTGGGAGCGTTGAGGCAGGAATTCTGATCTTTCTTCAAAGACTCCAGGCATCTCTACTTTTTGTTCCGTCACGGCGGCTTGGATCTACTTTGGTCAGATGATTTGAGAACTCCTTCACAGCACCGTTGTAAGTCCTGAAATAAGGCAAGGATGCCATGAGCAACTTCTGCGCCAGAACTACATTGTAAAAGACCGACTGAAACATGGAGTTCCAAGGGCCGTGGGTCCTTCGCAGCGGAAGTCCGTTCGCTTCGCTGAATCGGCGAAGTGCTGTGAAGACATCAAGGCGCGGCGCAGAGCGCCGGCCTGCTTTTCGAACGACGGAAGGAGACAACTCAGGGTGTCGTCACAGCCAGCATTCCAGAGACTCGCGTCAGAAGTTCATAAGGATCACGGAGAACAGCGAAAGACTTGTATGCTGAATTAATGCCGAGCAACGGAGCCAACCATGCGCCAGGAGGTGACCGCGCACGAGGTCTGGCGATGAGGACAAGTCCGAACGCGGATGGAGCTGAGAGACTATCGGGCTTCGGCTTTGGCTGCAGCTTTCCAAAGTCCACATCTGCCCTGCAGAGGTGCAGCTATGCGGCCATCACTGGGCGCCAGCTGCCACTCCCCGTGCAGCTTCGGAGATACCAGCGCAGCGTGTAGGAGAGCACTCTTTGTGTGGACCTCGGACTCGGACGGAAACAGAATTGAAGCTTCCGCACCCTCAAAGGGGTTCGTGAACGCTGAGATTGCTGAGCCTGGCCACGCCATGACTGGCAATGGAATGAGGCAGCAGCCGGGTACTCCGGCTGGATGGAAATGTTGATGGCAGCCAGGGCTTTGCTGTTGCCTTTCCTGTCGGAGGCGCAACAAAGAGCTGGCCGGGTGCCTCTGAAAAATATCATCAAAGTGCCCAACACAAGAACTGGAAGGACTTTAGGCATGCAAGCGGCATTTCCACGAAGACATCGATCGCCTCGCTCAGATCCTGCGAATGCAAAACCTGCAGCTCTATGAAGCCTCTGGAAGAACCCTCCGCAAAGGGGGCGCTGATGCCTCGTTCAGCTCGTCCCCATAGTACCCAAGCTGCTGCAGCACCTCGCGCTGCACCACTTCACTGGTCGCTGCCCTGGCTACATCCGAGAGTCTGCAATCCACCGCAAATGCTATCCTAGATTGGAATGTTTACCAGACAAGGATGCACAGAGCAACTGAACATAATCCTTACAACTCTACGCCGCGCTGCCTCAGGCACCAACTCGGGGGTGTCGGCAAACAGCCGGGCACCCCCTCCGCGAATGATCTCGACCCCTCTGAGCGAGCCACAAGCCTGGCCGCCGGGGGTTTCGGGAGGGTTTCCGGGGTGCCAAGAAGCAAATGCGTAGCTGAAGCTTTGAAGCTGCTGATGCTCGATGTTGAAGGGCCAGCATATTTCGGACGTCAATACACCATGTCGGAAGGTAAGATTGCACGCAACAACAAGACAGTGCAGTAGGTGTCATATGGCACGATGTTGGTGCGGCAGCTGTAGGTTCGTCCGGCTGGCAGGGAGCCTCCAGCCACGCCTTCGTCGAGACCTGCCGGCACAGGTCTCTCGCTTCCCTGGCCGACCGGTCGTCAGAAATCTGTGACCTCACATGAAGACAACAGGCTGAGACCAAAGCACTGTCGCTTTACCTGCCTTTGTTGACTTGCATGACTATGCATGACTAGCTCAGTTCTGGGTATTTTCGTAAAGGAGTGGAAAGCCGATCCCACGCTTCGGAGAGGGACATGCCAAAGCAAGTCTTACCAATTTCGGAAACCAGAGTCGGATTGGGTTCGAGTCGCGACACGAAGATGAAGGGAGGCAGCAGGACTGCGCGGAACTGAACTAGTGAAGCTTCCTCTGAACGCCTTCCCCCTTCTGAGGCCCCAAACTTCACACTGCAGCCTACTTTGAACACTCGGGCACAGCCAAGATCACATGCACATACAGACCGACCCGAAAAGCCCTGTTCCCAGGCGGCCTGAGTTCCGCAGGGCAGGACGAAGACCCGCCGAGGAGAATACCAAGGCCAGGAGTCAGCGCTGGACAACTCCTGGAACTAAGGTGGGCTTCTCGAGGCGCCGTGGCAGAAGCTCTGAAACGAAGCGCTAAACCCTAAACCCTAGACCCTAAACCCTGACCCCTAAACCTCAAGCCCTGAACCCCACCCCAAACCCTGCACCCGAACTCTCAACCCCTGAACCCTAAACCCTAAACCCTAAACCCTCAACCCCTAAACCATCCTCTCCCTGGGCGCCTGGAGCGCCTCGTGGAAAGCCAAGCGCTTTGGCCACGCAGTGAGCGCCTTTCTGAGCAGCTGGCGTTTCGGTTTCGGGTAGGGTTTAGGGTTTAGGGTTTAGGATTTAGGGTTTAGGGTTTAGGGTTTAGGGTTTAGGGCAAAACGGTGATCGCCGAAAAGATACACTATAAGGGTTCCTTTAAGGGTTCCTCCTTGAAGGGTTCCTTTAAGGGTTCCTTTAAGGGTTCCTTCGAGGGTTCCTTTACGGGGGCTCCTTGTTGGGATACTAGTCGGCTACGAGTACCACAATCAAAAGGGATGCCCGAAGGGATACTATGAGGATCACAACAAAGGAATACTTGAAGGAATGCCCTAGAAGGGACACTACAACTATAAGGGTTCTACAGTGGTCAAAGGCTTAATATGCAAAACAGCAAAGGGCTTTGGGAAAAAGTGTGGAATATGTTAAAAGGAGCTCTGAGGAACTAGTATTGGCATGTGTAATTATTTGCAGGCCGTTTCCGGGTTTACGCTTGGATCTCTGTGGGCGCCTGTTTTCGAACGGCACTTTAAGGCTTGTGTTCAGGCTCTGCAGTTTCGGGATTCGCCTTTCAGCGCGCCGACCGACTCCTGGGCCCAGGCCGACCGTGACGCTGGAGGCCAAAGATCCTAATCATAATTGTAATAGTAATAGTAATAGTAATA